AATAGAGACCAATTGTTGTGCCTTGGATGGCTGCCTGCAAGCTTTTTAGTACTTCAACCACTACACAATGAACCAAGAGGTGGAACAGAATCACTAAACACACTAGTAGGCCAATTGGCTGGGATGTTACATGAAACAATGAACCTAAGTTCACATTTTATTTATACCTGTTAGGTGCCATTGAGTTGGTTACAACTCACAGTAACCCTGTATAGAGTATCTAAGGAGCGGCTGGTGGGTTTGACCAGCTGGCCTTCAAGTTTGCAGTCTAGTGCTTATCCTACAGGGCCACATGTCTTAAATCATAGCATAGTGAAGACATTTAAGGGTGAAATAGATTACAGCTGACTTGAAAAAAATTGAATAAAAAGTTATTCTGAGGCATCAGAAGTAAAAAAGATAGAAAGATTATAACACCTGGGTAAGACATTCAGCTCGTCAGTTTTCTAGAAATGAAGACAAAAAGGAAACATATGAAAATACAGTTTTTATGTTCTGACCCAAAAAAGAGAAGACTATAACTTCTCTACAAAAGAAAAAATTTTCCTGGAACGAATGCAAATAATAATTCATCATGAGGTTCTAGTCTAAATGTGACTAAGGGAGAAGATCATAAGCTCTGGTTTCAGGAGAAAATTGATTTATTTTTAATTTCCAAATAAGAATGTTGCCATGGTCAAGTTTCTTAACTTTTATCAGTGTCAGTTTCATCTGTGAAAATCGAGACAAAGATGTTAATCTTAATGGACAGATGTAAAAATTAAGTTGTGTAATATTCATGGAAATACTTAGTAGAGTGCCTTAAGCAGTTTTACAAAACAAAGTGAGATACATGACCAGATTTTATACTGGACCTTCTACAAGGTAAAGGGTGAGAACACTAAATTACATTTTAATGGAAGCAATTTTATGAGGAGAAATATTTTAATCTCCTCTTAGCCCCTCCCCCTTTCCTATCCCCACTGTTTTATGAAGATTTGAGTGAATACAGGACAACACTTGGAGAGATTAGAATGAAACAGCTTGGAGAGGTGCAGGGTCTCAATTCTGCCTTTTCCAGATAGACGTGGTGTCACTGTATTTTCCTGGGATGGAGACAGTCTTAGCAGACCTGACACTGTTTAAAATATCGGCCAGTGTAAAATATAAAAGGAAAAACTTTTGCATTTGGTATCTTTATGAATCACTAATATAAACTGTCAAAATCTAGCTAATTGAAGCATAAACTCATATTTGATAAATTTCCCAGGGTGAGAGAAGAAAGAGGCCTGCTGTTGTTAGGTGCTGTTGAGTCAGTTCCAACTCATGGAGACCCTAGGTACAAGAGAACAGAACACTGCCTGGGCCTAGGCCATTCTCACATGTGCTTATGGGTTTGAGCCCACTGTTGCAGTCACTGTGTCCATCCATCTCATTAAGGGTCTTCTTCTTTTCCCCTTACCCTCCACTTTACTAAGCATGATGGCCTTCTCCAGGGACTTGTTCCTCTTACTAACATGCCCAAGGTAAGTGAGACAAAGTCTCTTCTTCATTCTTGCTTCTAAGGAGCACTCGGGCTGTACTTCTTCCAAGGTGTATTTGTTTGTTCTTCTGTCGGTGGTGGTGGTGTGCTCTGGAGTTGGTTCAAACTCATAGTAACCTTGTATATGGTTTCCAAGACTATAAATCTTAACTGGAGCAGAAAGCCTCGATTTCTACCATGGAGCAGCTGGTAGTTTAGAACAGCTGACTTTGTTGTTAGCAATCTAACTTGTAACTCACTACGCTACCAGAGCTGCTTTCTGGTAAACTATGGTATATTCAATATTCTTTGCCAACACCGTAATTCAAATGCATCAGTTCTTTTCTGGTTTTCCTTATTCACTGTCCAGCCTTTCACAAGCATAGAAGCTGACTGAAAACACCATGGCTTGGATTAGGCATATTTTAGTCCTCAAAGTGACACAACTGTTGCTCTTTAACACTTTAAAGAGTCATTTGCAGCAGATTTGTCCAGTGCAATATGTTACTGGATTTCCTGACTGCTCCTTCCATAAGTGTTAATTGTTGATTCAAATAAAGTGAAATAAATCCTTAACAACTTCAATCTTTTCTCAGTTTATCATGATGTTATTTATTGCATCAGCTGTGAGAATTTTTGTTTTCTTTACATTGAGGTACAATATACTGAAGGCTGTGGTCTTTGATCTTCATCAGTAAGTATTTTAAGTCCTCTTCACTTTCAGCCAGCAAGGTTGTGTCATCTGCATATTGCAGTTGTTAATGCATCTTACTCCAATCCAATGCCATGTTCTTCTTCATATAATCCAGCTTCTCCAATTATTTGCTCAGTATACAGATTGAATAAGTATGGTGAAAGGATAAAACATTGAGGCACTTTTTTCGTGATTTTAAACCACTCAAGTATCCCCTTGTCTTGTTCAGAATGCTTCTGGGTCTATGTACAAGTTATGCATGAGAACAACTAAGTGTTCCAGAATTCCTATTCTTTGCATGTTATTCATACTTTGTTATGATCTACACAATCGAATGCTTTGTATTCGATTGTGTAGATCATAACAAAGTAAACATCTAAACACAAGTAAACATCTTTCTGGTGTTTTCTGCTTTCAGTCTATCTAAT